TCTTTTCCTCCTGGTCCCATCAGTTATATAGGAGGAAGCTGGTATAAATTTGGAACATTCTGTGGAGCCCATAATTGTTCATTGAACAGGGGTATTTATGGAAATTTATTTCTTCCTCTCTTGCCCATGCTTGTTTGCTATTCATGATGCTTTCTTTTTGTATTTATAGGTAGAATCCTTTATCCTTCTTTTCTTCTCAATCAACCTTCCAACCAAAAGACTAGTCAATTTAACCCTAGCCGGTTTGGCTCAGTGGATAGAGAGCATTGGCTTGCAGACAAAAGAGTCCCAGGTTGGATTCCAGTTAAGGGCACATACCTTGGTTGCAGGCTCCTCCCTGGCCCAGGCCCTGGTCAGGGCGTGTGCAGAAGGCAACCAATCGATGTGTTTCTCTCATATCGATATTTCTCTCTGTCTTTCCCTCTCTCTTTCACTTTCTCTAAAAATCAATGGAAAAATATCCTTGCTGAAACCAGTTTGGCTCAGTGGATAGAGTGTTGGCCTTCGGACTGAAGGGTCCCAGGTTTGATTCCGGTCAAGGGCATGTACCTTGGTTGCGGGCACATCCCCAGTGGGGGTTGTGCAAGAGGCAGCTGATCGATGATTCTCTCTCATTGATGTTTCTGGCTCTCTATCCCTCTTCCTTTCTCTCTGTAAAATATCAATAATTTTTTTTAAAGGAAAAATATCCTTGGGTGAGGATTAAAAAAACAACAAAAAACTAGCCAATTTAAATAATTTCACCTCTTCATCTTATCTCCATCCCTTAACCTCCTTCTTCCACCATCCTACAAAAATGGTGCTTGTAGAATTTCCATCTAACCTTCCAATTCCTAAATCCTATAGATATATTTTCAGTTTTTTCTTTATTGATCTTTTTGTGGCCTCCCACGCTGTTGACTGCCCCCTCCACCGGAAACTTCTTACATCCCTTGACTTCCATAGCACTCCTCTTCCCTGGCGATGATTCTACTCATCAGACCAACCCTTTGCCTTTATCAGCTTTCTCTCATCTGACCAACTATCATCTATCATTTCAATATTAAACTTGCCTTCCCAACTTCTGTCTTGTCTTTCAAATCTCCCCGAGTAACCGCACTTGTCACTCATGTTTCAGCTGACTCCTTATTTGCTTATTAATCCCAACTCTATCTAATTATGACCTGTCTCCTGAATTCCAGCCTATATTTCTGATGACTTCCAAGCACATTCAACTACATTACTCAGACTCAGTTTTTGAGGGGTCATTAATGCCTTTGAAAAATCTAATGAAGGAGACCCGGCTCCCTAATACACAAATGCTCAACATTTTGCCTGTAACTTCAGGGAGTTCATGAACTGCCAGAAGCTCATCTATGCCTTCTGGATCCAGACTCCATGTTAGTCACTCTTGAACTAGAATAAATAGGATCAAGTCCAGATGCCCTCGCTCAGAATCAGAGATTTTTCCATCTTGTACTTTGATATGGTCATTGTTTATCAGTGTTTTCTTGCGCAGATACTCTCCATTGTGCTATTCTCAGGTAGTTTGACCTGATACTTTGGAATATCAACCAAGCACAAGACAAAAGTTAACTTCCATTGCTTAGTAGAACCCCCATCTTCCAGACGGAACAAGATCTACGCCACTCTGACATCATGCGTATTGCAGTAGAGATCCTTCACCTTTGTCTTACAGGTTTCATCTGTTACTCTAAAAGCTTATAGTTGGAAACCTTTGTTTATAATTTCTGGCATAGCCTCCTTCCTTCCTAAATTGTTTCCACCTTTGGTGATTGTGCAAACCCTGGAAAAGTGAATCAAATGAATCTGTAAATGTAATGGATGCACAGGTGGTTTAATTTTCTTATAGTCTGGTTTGGCAACTTGATTCTTTGAGCCTCTAGAAAAAGATGATTCCACAAAGACTCAAACTTCCTTTCTATACACATATCCCAAAGAGGGAGGCCTCTCCTGATCGGCAGGATGGTGCTTTGAGAACATCTCTGCATTTCAAACTTCTGCAGAAGCAGAATTCCCCTCAGGACTCTGCCTTAGCCACAGCATGTGTGGTTTTAGCTGCCCACTGTGTTGGAAACCAATCCTCTCCCCTAGGGCCAGTGCCGGAGGATAGACAGGCGTCTTCCTCATTTACCCGATTTCTTCCTTCTGTGTTTGTTGACTTACTGACCTTGCAATGCTGTTTACCTGGCCAGCTTCTCGCTCCCCACCTCTTCCTTCTGCCTCCACGCTAGACTGCACCTTGTTTCCAGGCCCCACCTGTGTTTTTTGTCTACCCCTTTTTGTATCAGCCATTGCCTGCCTTGCCCTCCCCACAGACCCAGCCAGGTTGGCTTGCCTTGCTTTATTTTAGACATGCCTTATTTGATATTAGTAAATCAAATTTGCCTATCAATTTGAAATTAGATAAACTCTAAAAGCTTATAAGGATTAACAGTTATCTTCTAATATTTCTGTATTGAAAGCAAATAATCTTGAAGGAGTTTTAAATAATTTTCCACCTATAGAAAATTCCATTCTTAACTAAGTTTTAACAAATATTATTCCTTATACTTTTGTTAAGAACAAAGTACCCATCAGTGCTTATTTATAACATTTTTTTTTTTTTTTTACTTTTCATCATCATAAAAAAAAAAATCTGTAGGCTCAATAATGCAAAACACATAGCACAAATGCTTTAAGTTTTGCTTGTTGAGTGAAGTTTTAACATATATTTTAAACATGGAAAGCCCAAATCTGTAAGCCTGTGACTTGGCATCAGGAGGAGGAAGGTGTTAATTACCACGCTGCCAGGAGGTTTATGAACAGGCATTAACATCTCAGCAGGAGCACAGGTGGCACAATAGTGACTTATGGGAAGAGGTGAAGAAAAGCATCATTACATACAGATTTATTTTCAGTCACAAAAGCTCATGATTTTTATTTTAGGGATATTGAACAAATGTAATTTTTAAAGGATGTTCCTCTTTAATAGCATAATTACCTTGCCATCTTTATTATCTGCATAATTAAAACAGAAATTCTTCACTTCTCCCTGTAGCAATTCAATAAAGGTATGTGGTTACTATGTTAATTCATCTTTTAAATTTATTATAGCCACGCTGCAGTCAGCACTTTTGAGGTTTGGTGAACACAGCTGGATTTTGAGAACACTATCAGCAGGGTTGAGAAACTAATTGCCCATTTAAATTATTTAAATTATTTTTTAAAATCTCTCCAATAATTGCATATATACTGTTTTTTCTTTTAATACAACAATCACATACTCCAAACTTAGTCTTTTCAAATTAATTCTTTTGGCCAATTTTCCTGATAGAATCTGCATTAAGGGTATTGTGTTTAGGAAAGTTGATTTAGAGCTGTCAGGGAAGTCTTAATTATAACTCTAAGCATTTTAGGTCAGAGACTGGAAAATTTTCAGATCTTGATTATTCAGAAAAACAAATAAGGACTATATATATTTTAAAACATTTAGAAGCCACCTACTTGTGAGATAACTATTAATTGCAGCTTTTTACTGAAACCACTGCCTGAATTCTAATTTTAAATGAAAGGAACAAGGAATTTAAATGATAGGATTACAGGTTATGGTTCATGATTGGCTTAAGACGAATGAACAGAAGTGTTAGTAACTTAGCTTGGTGCCATTCATTATGGCCAGATCGCTCAGCACATATCAGTGTATCAGATGAAAGGCGAAAGTATTTACAAATATGGTGGCATCTAAATGCGATACTGCTTCTATGAAAGGGGTGATTTAAAAGTTATGGTTGAAAAAACCCAAATCATATATTAGCTTTTTAAATAAAAACCTTGCAGTCATTTCTGAAAGTCTTCTGAAAAACACAATTAAAATATTTATAAATAATGAATTAACTCCACATGTACTAGTAGCTGTTTTTTCAGTTAGTATCAGCATTTTTTTGCAGAGATGTTTATTTTAACAGAATGTTATCTCATTTATCAGCATCCTAATAACATATATTCACATTCTTCTATAATATTTTAATCATGTAAATTGACTTTATAAAAGTTAACTAGAGAATCAAACTTACAACAAAGTTTAATGAAGGGACTAAATAAATTAGCAAAAAATTATTTGTAAGCTGTTTCTTTTCAGAGTAGTCTCTGGTATTTCTTGTGGCATTAAAACTGAATTTGGTTCAATATATATTTTCTAGTACATACTTTTTTAATAGATAGCAACTTATTTAGAATGAACTATAAATACAAAACAAAACAATAGGTTTTTAATGTTCTAATTTAGTTGAATAAAATATTTGCTTTGATATAGAAATGAGATTGTAATTTATTTAAAAAATCAAATGAAATAAAGAAAAAACAAGGAGTGGAGAGAACATTAAAAATACTTTGGTTTTTAATTTAGTATTTTATAATGGGGTGAATTATCATTGTATATACTTAGTTTCATAACTACTTGTTTTCAGATAGAGAAAACTATGCTGACATATGTTTAGATTATGTGTATAGTAATTTAGCAATTTAATTATTTTAATTTTTGCTATGTCACTTTGTATTATAACTTAAGATTTTTAATATAAGCTTATAAATTCCTAAGACTTGAAATAATAGTTTATCATTCATTTTTAATTTCTCTAGCTCACTAATTTGTACATCTTAGCTATTCTTCAAATATTGGAATTTTATTTAAAATAAACATCAAATAAACAGGTATTTGTTCTTAGTGAGATGATAGTGTATATGAATACAGCACCAATCCAGGCACACGATTGGTGTTCAATAAGTTCTTTCTAAATCTTAAACTTGCCTTTCTCTTATAGAATTTTCTTTCCTGAAGTGATATCATATAAGGAGATAGAAAAAAGAGCAATCAATGTTCCCAATTCATTTTGTGTAACCACTGTGTTCTAAAGGTTAATTAGGTATATTTTTTGTGTAGTTTAGACTTTCTGTGACTAAAGCTAGCAAAGAGTTTGAATTCCTATTCAAACTCTTTCTTTCTTTCTTTTTTATGAAAGCTGAAAACAGAAAATTTTTTCATGAACAAGAGGTTGAAAAATGCCTTGTGACCCTTTTGGGCTCTGAAAGTGATGGAACTAAAATTGCTGCTTCCCAAGCGATTTCAGTGATGTGTGAGAATTTAAGCAGCAAAGGATTTTTCAACCATCAGGGTAAGCAAGCTGGAAAAAGCCACTTTGTACATTTTTAGGTTACCACATTCCAGTTGAGTGGATGTTAGCAACGTTACGTTTTGCCTTTCTTTTTCTGTAGGGATCCCACAGTTAGTTCAGCTGCTGAAAAGTGACAATGAAGAGGTAAGGGAGGCCGCAGCCCTGGCCCTGGCTAACCTGACCACTTGCAATCCCACAAATGCCAAGTAAGTACAAAAAGACTCACTCAGCACTGCCTTGTATGGGAAATCTAACAGTGCAAGAGGTGCTCATTTTAATACTTTGGCTTTCAAGGAAGTTTCCATTCTTTCAGATGATCTACCTTGGGATAAACTCTTGGGAAACTTTCAAAACCCATGTGAACATAAGACATCAGATAAGCCTGTTGTGCAAAGATGCAGTCATGTGCCAATAAGGACTTTTCAGTCAATGACTGACCACATACATATATAATGGCAGTCTCCAAAGATTATATGGGAGCCCCTATTATACTTAGTGACATTGTGGTCATTATAAGGTCATAGGACAACACATTACTCACATGTGTATGAGGATGACAGTCATGTAAAAGTACTATATACCATATTTTTACTGTACCTTTTCTATGTTTATATATGTTCAGACACATGAATACTTGACACATGACTATTATAAAATCTTGACTGATTCTGGGCTTGTTTGGACAAATGTGCAGACCATTTGATTCAGGTAACGGGTTATCTCTTGTGGAAGATTCCAATATAAATAAAACTGGGAAATGATGGAAAACTTAAAGATAACATATAACAACATTTGATAAATGTAGAAAAACTTAAAATATCCATTTTAAATATTTATAAACAAAATATACAAACACTAGCTAAATTTGAAAACATTTTAAAAATCAATTTAAAGCAACATATTATGGGTAAATAGTATGAAGATTGGAAAGGAGTGCCCTCTGTATTCCAAGCACTGTGGTATGAAACTTATAGTCACTGAAAAATGTAATTATAAGATAACCCTACCACTAATAAAGAAACTGCTGTTCTGCAAGGTTACCTAATTTTTCTGGTATAAATATTTATTAAAATAGCTAAGCTGGAAATTAAATTAAGGTCTGCAGGACTTCAAAGTCTGTATTCTTTTCTCAACAGAAGAAAACAGAAAGAATTTCCTTATAAATCAGAAAGAATTTCTTGAAGGAAACTTTTATAAATAAACAATAATTATTTATCCTCCCTAAATATCAATTGGTATGTGTATTAGTCAGGGTTCTCTAGAAAAACAGAACCAATAGGAAGATAGATGATAGATAGATAGATAGATAGATAGATAGATAGATAGATAGATAGATAGATAATTTTATATATTGGAATTGTCTCATTTGATTATGGAGGCTGAGAAGTCCCTCCATCTGATCTCTGTAATCTGGAGACCCAGGAAAGATGGTGGGGTAATTAAATCCAAGTCTGAAGGCCTTGGGAGTCTTCTATTCATACTTTTCATTATTTATTATCTGCAGAATTCTTTATTATCACTTAAAGTGGATAAAAATGTGAAAAGGAAATAGAAAATAGGAAAACAGGATAAGAGCAACCAGATTCACTTATTTAAAAATGATAGAAAGAGAAAGAAAAGTAAAATTATTTTAACTTAGTAAATAAAAAGTGAGAAGGCTAAAACAGCCTTCTATAAAAATAGATGAAAATAAAAAAATGGAATCCAAAAGCAATAATAAATTTTATGTAAAAATATAATTCACTAGCTGGTATGGATTCTTTATCTATCCTTTATTCTTTATCTATCCTTTCTTGACTCACTGCTAATCTTTTTGACAATTCTCAGTTTGCAATACTTTTTTTGGGGGAAAAAGTTAATGCTTTTTAAAAGAGAAAATGCTATTTTCAGCTAAATTTCATATTATATTTATCTATACTTTTCTATCCAATTCATCATAAAAAAGTTTTACCCTATTCATGCAAATACTAAGAGAATTCTTCTTCTTTTTTTAAAAATATATTTTATTGATTTTTTTCAGAGAGGAAGGGAGAGAAATAGAGAGATAGAAACATCTATGAGAGAGAAACATCGATCAGCTGTCTCCTGTTCACCCCCTACTGGGGATGTGCCCGCAACCAATGTACATGCCCCCGACCGGAATCGAACCTGGGACCGTTCAGTCCGCAGACCTACGCTCTACCACTGAGCCAAACCGGTTTCGGCGAGAATTATTCTTGATTGACATTCATCTGAGGGGCAGATCCTACATATTATAAGAAAATTTTAAACTATTAATTTATAACATCACTGCCATCTGTTGGATTTGATCAGAATTAGAGTTTTTAAGTTATCCCAAGAATGAAAAGTGCTCAATGTTTTTCATTGCCCTTTGCCAACACTAACTAAATTTTGTTTATTGATAAACTATGAAAAGATTACAAAATATTATAATTATTGACTAGATGTTTTTCAAGAGAGACAATTATTTTAGGAACTAAAACACAATGAATAAAATAAAAATATAAAAAGTAAAACCTGTAATTATTTTAGTGCCTATAGGTAAATCAAAACTGCAGTTTTGCTATAGAAAATAATCAAGTCTAGTATTTACACATAGATCATGCTAACTCAGATTCTTCATCCTTATTCTACATTATCTCCATGAAAAACTGGATGATTTCCCAAAACTTGAGACTCCTTTTATTTCAATTTCCTTGTTTTTTTAGTCTTTATTTTTTATACCCCTTCTTGACTTCCCATAACAGTATTGACTCAATGTAGTTCTGATGTCAGCATATATATATATATATATATATATATATATATATATATATATATATTAGTTACTGGGAAAAATTGATTGATTGCTGGGCCACTGCTGGCCTCCACAATAGCAAAGACAAAGAGGTTCTCTCTGGGGACTGTCCCGCTACTGTGATGTAAGCAACAAAGGAAGTGAAGAGTCAGAAAGGAGTATAGCCCAAAAGGACCCCAGAAAGAGCCAGAATGCCCCAAAACTACACGGATGTGCATTTGAGAGCTTTAGGAACTATGGAATATCCTCATTATAAAGGTAAAGCATTAACTAAATTTTAATACCTACTAGAATTATTCATGGAGGACCATGTCTAAGAAAGCCACGGGATTTGTAGAGAAAATGTTTAAAAGGTATGCCGCATACAGCACTTCACACAGTAAGCACTTTAAGAAAGGGCAGTACTTCATTTATTCACAGCGACCCAAACTCTCAAGGACATTTCAGTATTGTCAGCGAAGGGCCTGATCTTAATGAACTTCTTGAAATGTTAAATCTCTAATGTGCACAGAAAGCGCTTTTCAAGGCTTTTGTGTTTGTTTTCATCCCCACCCCATTAAATAGAATTGGGAAGAGATAGTATATATTTATTTTTACATTTCTTTTCATTTCTTTCATTCTGTAAATGTAAGTATAGACTAATGTTATTCCTTAGAATTGCCTACATTTCATTGTGCACTTAAGGCTGTAGTGCAGTGAACTGAAAGTCATTTTGAAAGAAAAACCCTGCCTCTCTTAAAGTTGGCAAAACACGACAATTTCACTCCCCTACACTTCATTCCTTGAGGAAGAGATTGGATATCTACCTTTGAGATGGGGAGAGAGGTGTACTATCACCCTTTGAAAATAAATTTTAATGTCTGTTTCAGGTCATAGGCCCTGGCCAATAGGCAAGGATTCACTTAGCTAAGCAATCCTGTCATTGAGAATGCTTTTAAAATTATTAAAGAACCTTGGCCATATAAATAGTCCACGGTGATTTACAAAATTAAAATACAATCTTATGATAAGTGTAAAACTCATGTTATAGATTTGATGTATCAATCGGACTTAGTAATGCTACAGTTGTGTGGTTATTGTCTTTGTTGCCTAGGATTTTTCACAGGGGAATGTTTCTCTGTACCCTTCTCCCTAACAGTGAGAGGAACTATGTCTTTATACTGACCCCTAGTGGTAGTTTGGGAGGAAGTTGGGGGAGGGGTGAAAAAGGTAATGGAACGATTGCTCTGCATTTTAGTGAACCGCACCATAATTTAATTGGAAGCATTCCCCAATGTGCCTAAAATAATATTTTTAAACATTATTAAAATAGAGTGATCTGGAAAGCATTGAATTGTGATGCCCTTAAAGAGATAATATCTTACTGCTAAATGTGTATTAAGAGATGTTTAGGTTTGTCTTTGTCCTTTTTTTAAGGTGCAATCACTTCAAAATGTGTTGACACATTCATTATTCTGGTGGCTGAATATCTGTTGTGGATTAATCTTATTGTTACTGTAGTTATTATAGGGTTGATTTTTTTTGCTCTTGACTTTGTATAGGAAAGATGATTTTGTTTTAAAATTCCCATGTATTTTGCTTTGTTGAAAGATGCTTTGTTCTTTGAATTAGAATGCTCACGATATGAGTGCCCTACATGATAATGTGAGCTAGTTCCAAAATATCTCAGGAAGTTCGGGTTCACATTAAGGATGTTTCAAACTTAATGTTTCAAACATCCTTTGTATTAAGGATGATTCCTCAAAGAACTACACAAAATGTTATTTATTACTTTAAATGGCTTCTGAAATGAACAGATGTGGATGGGCACAGTCATCATGGTAAATTTAAGAATTATTTCTGCATTATTGCTAGCCAAGTTTACTGAATGGATACTTTTCCTTTTCTGCCTGATGGAATGTTGTCATAACATAAACTATTCTGGATTGAAAAAATTATTCTGGATTTGAAGAAATATATAAAATGAAAAGCTGGATTTTGCAATTAAAACAAGTTGACTCCACATCCCCATTTTGGGTCAGTTGATGCCCACTTGACCTTCTCAATTTGAACTTTATTAGTTACCCGTTTTGTGAGGCTAGGTGAATCCTTTGACATATTCAATTACAAAATTATCCATGTGCTTTTATTACCTAGAGATCAGTGGCTGACTTTTGCATAGTACTATTTTTAAATTGCTGGTACCTCTTTTAGGTTTACTAGTAATTTCCAGTGCTACTGATTTTCAGAGGAAATGATCAGTTTGCCTATCTTTACATTTTGTGAATTTTCTCTCACTCTCTCAATATGAAGCAGTACTTTAAAAACCTATATAAATTTCATTTTTATTCATCCGTGACCTTTTACATTTGCCTTTTCATAAGATTTGTTTCCCTCTAGAAATTGCCTTTGTTGCTCAATGATTGCACA